TGTTGTTTTAAAAAAACAAAACACCGATTTGAATAGAGCGCTCTCTGATCTTCTAAGCCCTTCCTCTCTCAGAATATGAAAAAAAATATTAATATTTAATTAAACGAAAAATAAATTTGTAACATAAGCCTCTTAAACAGGTTAAATAAACCGTTTTAGGTTATGTGAAAAATATATATATTTAAAGCGCAAAGAAGATGTACGACAAAAAATTTAAAAGAACAAACTGCAGTTAACTACAGAAGATATCATTGCATATCATTGGTTAACTAAAAACCAAAAGAGTTGCCACATGAACAATGTATTACACATATACGCACACTAATTTAGTTAGAAACATACACACATAATAAACTTAGAACAAAAATGTAACATTTACGAAACGAACAACAGCACAATTAGACAAAAATAACGAACGCACTAAGTAGCAAACGATAATTGATAATCGATAAATGTAAAACGAAGTAAGTTATTTTATTTTTAGTGTGTGTGTGTTTTTTTTAAATTGTTTTTTGGTTTTTTTGTATTTATTAAAAATTTCGTAACTGTATTAATTTTAATATACTAATATTATAATTTCGCTAAATATGTGTGAATTTTGGTAAGGAAATTTAGATAATATATTGTACATAATGAAATAATTACATAATAATCGTGTAATTAATTGTATTGTAAAATCAGCAATACTAAACTTACCACACAAAATCTTTTTGTTATGTTTTTTGACTTTTCATATTTTTTATAAGTAATTTTTTTAAATTTTTCATTTTTATGTTTCTTTGTTTGTTTTTATATTATCTATAATGGGTAAACATACTTTTTGCTTTGCTTTTTGTTGGTTTGCAGGTTTTTTTTTTTGCATTAATTTCATTGTATTACTTTGTTTCAGGGAGCTTGGTTTCGTTTTCTAATCATTGCGTTTTTTGTTTTTGGTATTCTTGTTTGTTTACATAAAGTTTATGTGATACTTTGGTTTTTGCTTGCTTTTGTAATTTTGTTAGTTTTGTTTTTCTTTAAATACATAGTAATTTAGCGTAAATCCATTCAATCTTCTGCAAGATGATTAAAAACGAAACGAAAAGAAAAGTAAATAAATAATTATGCATTTTTTTGTTTTAGAGTAAAGTCAAATTGTTTTTGTTTTGTAACGAATTTGCAAACGGAGCATATAAATCTAATATAAGCATTTGCTTTTTTCGTATTTCGTATACTTTTGCCTAAAGGCGCGACATKTTGTAGTAAATAAATAGTTTTTTAAGTGATTTTGTTTACTACAAAATTAAAATAAACTAAAAATTAAATTTTAGCGTAATTTCAGTTTTTGTTTTTTTAATTTTTTATTGATTTTAGAGAATGGAAAATGCATAAAAGCAAAGCGTATATGAGCACCAAGGCAAATAAACAAATAAAATCTGTGAGAAATTCAAGTGGTGAACATTTTTGTTTTACAACGGCAGGGTAATAGCGAGAGAAGCGTGCTAGAGCCAAAGTAGAAATGGAAAGTAGGGTAGAAAAAAAACAAAAA